TGAGCCAAGTGTGGTGATCCGCAAGAAGAGCCATGCGATGCTATCGTTTGAAAAACGAACCGGTGCCATAGCTTCGGCGTTCCCGCTGCTTCCGTCGCCGCTCGCCCGCCCAAGTGTTTTCGTACCCTTCTGACACACCCTGTCCTATGGCTCGATAGCCCGCTACGGGCCTTGGCCGATTGGCGACGACCCAGCCACTCGGCTACGAGTTAAGGAGTTCGTGTAGATAGCACGAAGACATCCCTTCGCTTCTGGTCTTCATAACCTTAAGGTGGGCTTTCTCATCGTCACACAGCAATAGATGCTGCGCCATTTGTAAGGAAAGCGCATAGTTATTAGTTTGCCCCGGCCGAGAATCGAACCCGGGATTAATGTGCCTCATCCACACCTGCCGAATGGATCGGACAGGCGTCATGTAACAGCCACATACGAACGTTCGATTGTCGCGGAGGTGTCAGCCGGTCGGGCAGTTGGCAGGCTTGGCACGATGGCCGCTTTAGCTCGTTCGGTCAGATTTGCACGCGGCGGTTAGCGTACCAGACTGTTGTACTCAAGTTGGCGGGTCCAAACCCGATCGAAGCCGTGGATTTTTAAGGACAAAAAATGCGCCTTCTTTCGGAGGGGAAGTAAAGCCGGCTGTCCCATGTTAGTAGATTTACTTGCATGTTAAAGATCCTCAAGCCTAAATGACGCCTCTGAGCTAAATTCAAATCGCCTATTTCTCGCCCAAGAAATACCTCCTTTCTCTGCTAGTTGGTGAAAGAAGCGTAGAGAAATTTGCGTGGTCAGACGGAAGAGCAGGCCTCATGGCCTGAGTCTCGCCACGTAAAAGAAGGCATTAATTCAATTCAATTCAATTAGCGTCGAGCGGCGGGTTCCTCGCCTGTTCGCCGTAGCAGCGGTACTCGAGGCGGATCTCCCGCCGCCTGCTGACCGCCAGCGACCGTCCTGCCGAGCGAGGCCCATCTCACACGCACGTACTTAGGAGCCGGCCCGCCGGCATGGCACCAATTATCTGTCACCGCAGCACACTGAACCCCACCCCTTTCCTCACTTCCACTGACTGGGTACTCAATAGAATAACAGTAACTTGGGCATGTACGATTGACGATCTAAGCGCAAGAGTGGTATAAGCCCACAAAAATGAAAAAAAATTGTTATTGACATTTTTATTAGAGATTGCGAACTATCTTTGTACATTCTTGGTTTGAGCAGTTTTCCTCTATAAAGTTACTGTTTCTAATCACAATTCTTCCTACTATTTCTTCTATTCACAACTCATCCTACCACTTACAACTATGTAACTTTAAACGTGATGTTTCTCTGTTTTCTTAAAATGTGGCATAGAGTACTATTCGGCTGACCCATTCAATTGTAAGGGCACGTATTAAGTTGACTTCAAGAACCAACCCGGTGTTCTGCTTTTCCCAAAGCCAACTGCCTTCTTTCTTCATTACGACTCAAGAAAGAGGCAAATAATAAAACAAAGGACCTTAAACATTAATAACAATGCCGCAATTTAGAGCAGATTAATATTTATCGGAGTGGCGGAACTTTTTTCTTTCATCTTGTATCAAAATATTTCAAAACTAAGATTTTGTAATCATTTCATAAAAAAATATTTATCTTTAAGTCAAATTTCGAAGTCTGACCTTTTGTAATATTAGGATAAGCTCTGATCAGAAAGTTTTTCATTTTATAAATAATATTTCACGATTTCAAGAACTGTTAAAAATATATTTCACGTCTGTTCGTTTAATCCACTTCTTATACTCTCAATCATGGTGCGAATAAGCATAATTTACTCTAACAGAGCGGTACATAGACGTATACGAAGGAAACATTCTAAAATATGACATGATAAAGTTCGTTGTACTTTTGAACAGCTGTTATTCAAAATAAAGTAGTAATACGTCATTAATTAATCTCATAGCAAAAGTAGAAATCTCTATTATTAGCCTCTCTTTTGCCGATTAAGCGGTGTGCCATATTCAAGCGGTGTTCACGTTATCTAAGAATATTTGCTGTTGTTAATTTTAGGTTACTGAAACGGTTTTCAAGTAGTTTGTAAGCTCTTCACATAAAACAAAATTGATAAAAAACCGGGAGACTTTTTTACCCGAGGGAATCACACGCAATCACTTTTCTAAAGAAAGTCAATAACCTTTGTCGATATCTTCCATAAGGAAGTGCTCCACTAGTAGCAAGATGACTCACGAATTGACAACCCCAATCAAGACTCCCACTTAACACAGCAACCACTTAATATCACTTAACTCCGGTTATTCACAAGAAACCCGAATTATCGAACACAATAAAAACTGCAAGATGGTCCGCACAAGAACTAGCATTACGACTTATGAGAGAGAGCATATGCTGCATCAGAAGACTTACCGCAACAGGGCTTCGAGAGAATCGATAACATAAATCAATCTTCACCCATTTGCCGCAAACCACCAGCTGAGAACGGACTTAACAGCGCATGTAAACGAGCAAGGCGTCGCAGGGGCGCGGAAGGGGGGGAGAGGGGGTAGGTGACCCCCTCCGGTCATGCCCACTAAGCAGTGCCCGTCACGCCACGCCAGGACTGCCGCCTAACATATTCTCTCCCCTACAGCATACGACCGGTGGGTCAGGCAGGCAAGGGACTCAAACGAGCTCAAATTACAAGCCCACGGAAAGGACAAATGTCCTCCAAATGATCTCCAATTATTAGCAGTGCGCCCAGCTGTTCAGCGGCGAACTGCGCTCTCGTTCATAATTGAAACATGGGCGACGCGACGCCCTTTTTGTGGGTAGAGCTTCAATTTTTTTTTTCACAGCGCATACCTGCGCCTTTGCTCCATCGTAATCACGACGTATGAAAAGCAGCAGAAAATACTGGGTGGCGACTAACCCGTTCCCCTTAAGGCGGCTTTTTGTTTCTTTGCGAGATACATTGTTCGCGGCATGACCCAATTTTTATACATCTCCCGACCGAAGCTCTTAAATCTTTTACGCTCCGTGCGATCGTGTGTCGGAGTGGGGGTTTCATTCATCTTTGTCCGTTAAACGAGACTTTAATCATTCACAAAAGAGATTCCGAGAATAATTTGCTTGTCGCCGGATCGACCTTGCTGGTCGTGAGCTCTCGGAGAATACGTTTCGTTGGAAGAAATTGGTCATGCAAGGGTGCTTCGCGAGAGCATTCAAGAGGAACAGACCCAGTATAACGTCTTCGCCTCCATATGTCGTGCATGTGGCGGCGCGGAGGAGAAGTCTGGAGTGAACCGCAGTCTGCTTTTTCAGCGGGGCGCATTAGACTGAGGGCAGCTCGACGCTTCATATAATATTACATCTCCTTATCCTCCGAAGGAACAGGTTTTTGCTGAGAGGCAAGCCAAGTACTTTTCCGCTTCTCGCTTTGGCTCGTTACAGAGCGACGATAGACGTTCTTTGGTTTTTAGCCCGATGGCACAAAGTGGACTGCTCGATGTATTTGATTTACAGCGGGGACAAGGTGAAGCCCTTGTTAGTACTGAGAAATGATGAAATACGTCGCGCAAATGACCAGAATGAATGAAGTGTAACAATATATCAGATTGTTGCTCTTGATCAATGTCGTTCCGTGTCCTTCGTCTCTGCGGCGAAGATTCCGTGAGTTTTCCCACGCACTTAGCGTCAATACTGTTGCAACAAATGTGATTTGAAGAACGCGAAAAGTTCATTTTCTACTGAATGGTCATTAGGGTGTTCCATTTTGGGGAATGGAACTTTGTCGAGGATCGAGATCTGAATTCGATGAAATTCATTAGCGTATATCATGTCAGAATACATGGATAAATCATTTATCATGTATTTGTGATGTAGTTGTTAGTATGAGTCAATATATGCTGGGAATCAAAGCCTCCAAAGCAATCTAAATTCTTAATAATTGTATTATACGTGAATTAGGACTTATTTTTCTACACTTAGTATATTTAATTTTGTTTTTATTTTACGTTCAGTCTTCATTATCACTACAGTCAGAATCATAATAATTATAATAATTTTTCTGTTTTTATCGATAAATTGAATTTTTTTAGGAAATGTTTCAGAGTATTTATCAAAACAGCGAACAAAAAACTTAGTGATAAAATGTCCTATTTCATCGCCATAAATCCCTAGGCGAATGAGAATATAAAATTAATAAAGCCTTCTAATGAGTACAAAACACGTTTACTCACTTTTTAAAAGAAATGGATATAGTTTACGAGCTATTTAATATTTCTTTACATCACTTTTATTTCAATTCTATCGTCAGTTATAATTACTACAGTTAAATTGCTATTATTCTGTCCTGAGATTGGATTGTGTTCTTCCTAGCTTGAACACTAAAATTACTCAGATTAAAAGGAAGAGAAAGCTAGTATTTTAGGGAGAGAGGATTGTTCGTGCTTGAAAGTTTTTAGACGGTCGTTTTTCCGCCTGCTGCTGTCTGCTGTTGGTTGGAATTTTTTTCCTCTCCCATTGTTTCGATCAATATGACATTCTTTATCTATTGTTCCCTACAGAATGACTTTGCGACACTCGTCATTGAAGTCTAAGAATTTGGAAGTTCGTGTCTACAATTTCGAAGAAAACAGGAATTCGAATTTAGACTCATTACAAATGACATGAAACAAACCTTACAAGCGACAATGTATAATTTTCATGTGTGTTAGTCTAGTTTTAAAATGTAAAGGTAGACCACAAATGATCCAGCCGTTGCGTTTCTCTACAAACTAGAAAATAACAGGGACTAATACCTAAGTAGTCTAGCAGCTTTCAGCCAAAATAGTGATTCTTTGATGATGAGGATGGATATCATTTTACCGCGTAAGCACTCTTCTCCCATACAGAGATCACGTGACAAATTTGCTTTACCGACGTACTGCGTTTGAGTAGTATAGAGAAAATATTGTAATCAGCGAAGAAAAATATCGAACCCATGAGATTAACAGTTCGAAATTAGATGTGAAACATTCGTATTAATCCGAAACTTACCATACAGCAAATTTCGAAACACTCAAGATGGAAACCAGGCACTCACCTGTAACACAAAAAAAAAACACTCGTATAAACAATGGAGAAAAAGTATGACAACACAAACTCAGGACAGGATTATTTTTTATGCAATCAGTTTTTGACGTTAAAAATTTAAAAAATAATAATAAAAGGAGTATAACCCTGCCATGCGCACCTCTAATAACATTGAACATTGTTATGAGAATGGAAACAGCTGATGAACTTCCAAAGGACACTGTGAATAAATCAAAGTACAGCTACCTAGGAAAAGTCAAAACTGAGCTAGCGTCAACCACTACCCGAATACGATTTCTAAATGTCGGTTGCTATGATCGGCTCTGATCTATTTCCATAGTTTCTCGGATCAGTATCACCAATGACAGAGCAGTGATAGTGAAAGATAATACAAATATCCTTCACAAATATTGAAATAATTCAATTTAAAGATTTCATTCACGACGAACAAAAATATAACCTTAATTATGGTGTAATAAATGCTTACATTTTACAATTTTACAGAACTAATAAATTTAATACAGTAATTCAAATCTGAAACCATAAGTGTGATAAAAGTTGTTATGAAAGGGGGCCATAAACTTTCCGTCCACATTTTCTTAATGGTCCCGAATCCACACAAGGCTCCCTGACCAACACCAGCACCTCCACCCCCACGAACTCCTTCCGCGCGTGCGTTCGACACGTGTTCGCACGCGTAGGCGCGTGCACGTGTGCGAAAAACGCGCCCAGCTGCGCGCGACCGCCGCCGTGACGTCACGAGGGGGCATCGCAGGGTGGTGGCGTGCGCCATTACGCGGACCACGTGACCTTCCCGTAGCCGCCGCCGGCGGCAGCAGCAGCGTCTTGGTCGCAGCGGTCGGTCTGTCATTACGGAGCCGGCATGCGAGAAAAGGCGGCGGTGGAGGTGGGAGCGGCAGCCGAGGGTCGGTGACAGGCGGTTGGCGATGTTCAGTTTCGCTGGAAGCCGACCCCAGTGATGGTGCCCGCGGTGTAGACAGATTGCTCGTTTTCTACTTCTAGGGACCGGGGTTCCAATAACGGACAATCCATTGGAATTTGAGGTGGAGAAAGCGGATTTGCGGAAGGTTTTTTCGGGGTTCTTTGGTTCCCCCTGCCTCTCGTTCCATTTGTCCCAACATCGCATATCATATCATCCATCCATCCAAAACTATTTACATTGGAATGGTGTAAAAGTGTAAGGAGTGAATAAATTACTTTGTGGGGCAAGAGCACTTGAAAGTCGCAGAGGCATACGGAAAGAAAATGGCAATGATGGTGGGTAGTGGCAGGGGGCTTTGGCGACGATGCGGCTGAAAATGATAAATTTCATTCAGGCAATTTTTAAGGTCCTAAAAGAAGGCACGTCACGCAGACGAGTGGATACTTATTTTTAATCTATAATGTCAATGCTCTGGAATTCTTTTATCTAAACAAAACATCACCGGCAAAGAATGAACTGCTGCATCAATTGTGAGATCAATATCAAAATAATCAAGTTTACCCAACAGATATTCACACTTTCTGTTCCGTTTTGAAGTTGGAAAAGCTTCTGACGAAACAATGGCCTTTATTGAGATAGTAATATTCATTGCCATTCAGATATATTATATTCAGACGATTAATTTTCTACAAAATCTACAAAACCGGCAACCTTAAGTTCACAAACTTAAGGCTGCTGTAGTAAACAGGTATAGGATGATTTATTATCGGCCTTCTCTCGTATTTCTATGAGTAAATTGTGTGTCGAATGTATTGTTTTCTTTTACAAGAATAAAGTAGGTGTATTTTGAAGATTTTACTCCACTCCTTCCTTTTCATGGTTTTGATATTAGTTGCTATTTGGATTCTTGCTCCCAGATGTTCAATATATTGCTGTGAACATATTAACTGATTCACCATGTCGGAAAAGCTTCTCAGGAAACTTCTGTATAAATACTATAATACATTTTCAACGTAATATGGTTCTAGTTCATTACTATAAAACGTTTTAACACGTTCTTTTACTACAAAGGAATTTTCCTCGTTTGAATCTTCTTAGATGTCTCACACGTTTTAAGAGCTGAGATTCGCACGTAAGGGGCGTGATGGTCGAGCGTACTGAGAACGCGAGCGTCGTGTAACGTGCAGCGCGTACGAGAGCCTGCAGGATGGGCGGTGTCAAGTAGGGAGCGCCAGGGGGCGTCAGCGGCGGCGCGGGCGGCGGGCGGGCCCTAATAGAAAGCACGGAGCCCGGACGAGCGGACGCGAGCGGCGACAAGCATAGCCCGGGCGCGGGAATACACGGTAATTTATAGGCGATTACGGAACCCGAAGCCGGTGATTAGGGGGCGCGGGGCGCTATGGGACGAGGCCGGGGCGGGGACGTGTCGCTCCCAAACGCCGCCGGGGGCAGCGCGAGCGGAGGACGCGGGGCGTGACGCGGGGACACGGGACGCGGGACGGGCGAGAGGTTGAAGGTGGGAGACGCGGATGGATACGTGACGCTGGAATTCGAGTCGGGGTCTGAAGCTGGGTATTGAGGGTTGGAGACGTGCGGCGGGGACGTGAGATGGGAACACGAGGAAGGGTGATGAGGTGGGGAGATGAGGCGGTGAGGAGATGAGGGGAGGGGCGTGCAGAGAGGATGGGGAGTTGAAATGTGGAGGCAAGGCGGGGAGGCGAGCCCCGAGAAGATGAGGCAGTAGATGAGGGGGAGACGCCGGCGGGGAGATGCGAGGTGGAGGACGAGGCGGGGGACGAGGCGAGGAGAGAGGGGAGACGAGGCGGGTAGTACGAAGGCGGAAAGCGAGGCGCAAAAATGCGAGGGTGGGAAGGGCGGAGGCCGGAGAGGCTAAGGCCGAAAGGCGAGCGGAAAGGCGAGGCGGAAAGGCAAGGCGGAGATGCGAGGCGGAGAGGCGAGTGGAGAGGTGAGGCCGGGAGACGAGGCCGGGAGGCACGCGGGGAAGGTTAGGCGGGGAGGCAGGCGGGGAGGTAGGGCGGGGAACGAGGCTGGAAGCCGAGGTGGAAGCAAGGGGCGGACATGTAGGCGGAGGATGAATACTAGAGGCAATACCTGAAGGCGGATAAGCAGGATGCGCGGGGGCAGAAGGCGTACGGGAAGTAAGGAAAGGAAGTGACCTGGCAAAGATGAAGTTTGGGTGTAGGAGGGGTGACTGTGGGTCATTGGTGAAGTAAAGCGTTGGTGCGAACGAAGCAAGGCAGTGAGAGCGAGATGCGAGGTGGGTGGGCCAGCGTGGGCATGCGTGAGAATGGAGAATGTTTATGGACAGCGAACCAGTGCCGTGGTATTGTTGAGGCGGGGGCAGTGACAGTGTCCTGCGGAGGATGACAAGAATTTGAGTGTGGGCATATGGCTGTGAAGGACGAGAGGTAAAGGAAAGGCACTGGCAGTGATGGTGGTTTCGTGGCAGCGGGACGGACAACGACGCCGGCCGTGGCGTGACGGGCTGGGCAGGGCTTTTGAATGGACAGTGTGCTGGTAGAGCAGTGACTGGGGCGTGCGTGCGTGCGGCGCGGGCGGGCATTTGCGGCGGGCGTGGCGAGCAGGGACGCGCGAGCAGGGGCGGGCGAAAGCGGGGCGGGCGAAGAGGGGCAGGCCGAGCAGGGGCGGGCGAGGGAGGATCGGATCGAGTGGTCCGGGCGAGCGGGTAGAACGGGCGAGCGGAGCGAGCGTAGTAATTATCTGATGGGCCAGTGAGGGGCTTGGTAGACCTGACGGTGGCGGAACGGGCGAACAGGGGCGGGAAGTTTTAACCGAGCGGGTAGGTCGAGCAGGAGTGGGTGTGCGAGCAAGGTGGGTAGGCGAACAGCGAGCGGGCGGCGAGCGCGGGTGGCGAGTACGGGCGTGCCGGTGAACCAGGGACGGGTGGACTACAGAGTTTGCGGGCGAAGGAAGGGACGAAGCGACCAGGCCAGCCAGAGACGGGAGAGCAGAGACGGGAAGAGCAGGGACGTCGATCAGATACAGGCGAGCAGGGACGGGCGGGAGACCGCCCATCCGAGCGAGTAGTTCTCTGATGGGCAGTGAACGGGCTGGTAGACAGTGCCGGTGGCCGACGGCTGTGCAGTGTCGGGCCCTGGCAGAGAGGCGGGTGGTGACAGCGGGCAGGAGCAGGTGCAGGGGCAGGAGGGAGCGCGGGGCGGACGCGGGAGGGCGTCCACGCGCCGGAGGCGGCCCGGGCGATGCGTGCCGTGGGCGTGCGTAAGTACCACCTGCGCGAGGCTGCTCTCAAGTGCGTCCGACGCCCCCGGCCTCCAACAGCGAGCGGGTGATTGAGACGAGAGACACGGGCGCTGGCAGGAGATGCTCACAGCGTTGCGAGGGATTCGCCGGATACCTCTTCATGGCTCACGACTCGCAGAGTACAAAACACACACGTCTATTGGCTCTAAAATGGCATTTACTGGTTTGAGTGAACAGTAGATGATAGGTTGACTTTTTGAGAATTTTGAGTTACTTGTGAATATGATTTTCACTTGTTTACGTCAAATGTACTTAATTTGTGGGTGTTTACTGATTCATTGATTATAATCTGAAAATGATCAGATTGCGTATCCTTTAAACAACCGCCCTATCAAGAAATATGTTTCTGAACTATGTATTCTGTTGGATACGTAAATGAATTGCAAAACCAAAAAAAGAAAAGAAATTATGGAAGTATGGAGTGAAGACACAAGATGAGAAGTAGTAATTTAATAAACTCTGATACAAGCTCATCAGTCTCAAATATTGTCAACACAAAAGGAATTCAATTTAAATGACACTCACTTTGAGAAAGTTACGTGAAAACTACGTGAAATAAAAATATTGAGGAATATGAAATATTGAATTATTGGGAACCCATGAAACTACATTGCATATGCATATTGCATATTACACGTTGCATATTAAACAACACTTTTTGTTTGAAGTTTCATGTAGGTTAATGACCTAGGGTTATGTAAACATTTTAAATAATTCTAAACCATAATACACTTATAGAAAATAATTTTAATGGTATGCAAAATGTACAGGTGTATCAGGAAATTACTGTTCCTAGTAATGACAAAATTATGACAATTTAAATTGCAAAAAAAACTTCAGAAAGAGTTAAAGAACAGCTGTTCCGAAAAACTGATGAACGCAGGAATTGAGGTTAAATACAACGTTCAGTTAGTAATTATTGTACGGGTGACGTTTTTTGCACTTTAAAAGTGACATTGACGACATCGACCTCCCTGCAGATGCACATAAGTTGTGAGAAAACTGTCAAAACTCCCGTTCGACTCGCCTTGCGCCATCTGCTCGCAAGTCGACGTGGAAAGCGGTTATCTTCTTTTTATCCAAGCCTTGGAAACGTGAACCGTCTTCCATGCTGAGTGAAATCCTCCTGATTTCAACAGAACATTTTCGACTTTGGTGAACGTGTTACGAATTATTAAAAGTACAACGAAAAGATCAAATATGTCGAACGTCTGTTACTCGAAATTATTATCTTATTACAGTCATTCTCATTGTTATTTAAACAATTTTGTAAGATATTGTTTCCATGTTGTGCGATTATTTGCGGTGATTAATATACACTAATGCTACTCTTCACTTGGTAGGATATCGAGCATCCTTACTATTTCCATTGATCGTACATTATTCGTGGATGGAAACGACAAACCATAGCGTAACCCCAAAATTTTCCAGCTGGTTATTCATTAGTTGATATTTAGCATGGAGAGCGAATTAACAGTTTTCATTTTGTAGGCTGTCAAGATGTATCTCTTAAAAGGGATATGGATGATATCATGTGCAAAATATTTTTAATATAGATAATTGAAATAAGTGAAGTTCATTTAAACTCATTTTCCGTGCAGACAAAGTAATATGCATCTGAACCAACATTTCTATTTTAATTAGGTTATTTAAAATGCAGCCAGAAATATGCTTAGTTCTGCTATTATCACCTCCCCGTCTCGAAAGCAAAAGTCGATTATACGAAAAAGGTGCACCTCCATTTGAAATATCGTATACGTTCCTAATCATGTCCTAGTTGGCGAGGAAAATTGTGTATCATTGTTCCGAATTTGACAGTCAACATCTCGTTAGATAAACGGCGTTAGAAGGTGAAGATGGAGGAGGAGAAGGAATGTGAGGGGAAGTACGAGAAATGAAAGAGGTGAAATTGAAAGAACAAAAACGGGGTGAATATGAAGGAGACGAAGAAAATGTCACGAAGAAGAGAAAGAAGAAGGGGAAACCAGAGTCGATCACGAAGGAGAAGAAAAAGATGGATGGGGAAAACAAAAAGGCGAAATAGGAGAACAGAAGAAGAAGAAGAAGAAGAAGAAGAAGAAGAAGAAGAAGAAGAAGA